AGTTTTTCAAAGTTCACGTATATTTGTGAGAGAAAATAAAGTTTAGGTACCAAAACGATATATCACTCAAAGTTCGGGTACCATCACTGAAATTTAACCCTTTCTTATGTGATTTTTTCTTCGTGCTTTATATTTTTCGTTTGAGAGTATATAAATTTAAGGATCCATGTTCCATGAAAATATTTTCCCCTGCAAATTTTCCTCATAGAATATTTTGCCGGTCGAATCCATTCATTTCTCTGTTTCCCTTATTTGTCCCTTTTGTTAAGAAGCTCCAGAGAATTATGATAATAAAGTTCTATTGCACTCCCTTTTGCAGAAACAAAGGGATGATGTTGGCAGCTGGTGTACTTCCATTATTGGAAAAAATAATAGCTGCTGATTCCTCCTCCACCTCAATCCCTGCATCAACTGCCCTTTGCCTGAATCTTTCATGTCACGAAGAAGCCAAACTCGTCATGGGAACCAGCAAAGTCGCCGTACCTTTCTTGATCCGGGTCCTTCGTCGCGAGACAACGGGTCCCACCCAGTGCCAGCTAGATGCTCTTCATGCACTCTTCAACCTCTCCACCAACCCAACCAACATACCACACCTCATGTCGTCCGGAGTAATTGACGGTCTTCTCCCTGCGTTGTCACACTCCGGTGACTGTTCCTGGGTCGAAAAATGTGTCGCGATAATCATAAATCTGGCATCGAATACCCCTGCTACAGATGAGATAATCTCGAAGCCGGGCCTCATAAGCGGGCTCTCGTCCATCTTGGACTCGGGTGGGCCCACGGAACAGGAACAAGCTGCAGCCTGTCTTGTGATGCTCTGCAGCAAGAACGAAAAGTGCTGCGAGATGGTCCTACAAGAAGGGGTAGTCCCTTCTTTGGTGTCAATATCTGTGAATGGGACAGTGAGAGGGAAACAGAAAGCCCAGAAGCTGTTGATGCTGTTCCGGGACCAGCGGCACCGCCAGAAGGAACCCCCTCGAGGGGCTGTTATTAGCACGCAGCCACCACAGCCGGATAGCAATTATCCGGCAAAGCCCGGAGACACTCCAAAGCCACTGTGCAAGTCGGCCTCGAAAAGAAAACTAGGAAAAGCTCTGAGTTTTTTGTGGAAGAACAAATCTTTTTCTGTATACCAGTGTTAGATTGTTCTGACTGGCCTGTAAATCACTGTCTTGAAGGCCATGTCTAGGTGCTCTGTCACATTCTAGCTTGCCCTTTATAAGGGCAACGTCC